AACATGAAGATACTGATTCAAAACGCTTTTAATCGATTTGGGCCAAAGAAATCTCTCATGTTATCTATCTAGTTCCATTGCATAGCAGTCATTCCACACCGTTTAGTAAAATGAAGACAACTACAAAGCATTCAGAGAGCTTTATTTTGCCTTTTACTCAGCAGATGTTTCATGTTCACAAGAGTATACACACTCCTTTTATTTACAACGCCTCAGTAGGATATATTACCAACAGCATAAAACGCTCTGGCAAATTTTTTTCCTAAAATGAGGCAAACAATGGAAGTGTGATATACATTATGAACTTCAAAAATACAATGCACAGGAAACTTACACAAAAATAAAAACATAAAAATTATGAACACATCAAAGTATAAAGAGTTCAAAGTTTAAATTTTGCATTTGTAATGTGTAACTATCAACAAAATACTGAAAACACAAAAGATACTTATTGGACACATGATCTAAAATTAAACTGGCAAATGAAATGAAATAAGGAATTAAAATATTTCAATAAAAGAGAATTACTTATATTGCAATGTGGAGCTATGATGTTAAATATATAACAAACTACTAATGCATTTGAAATAAAACATATTTTGGAAATCCACACAGAATAATAAATATATTTAAAAATATATTTATAAATATAATAAATATATTTTTAAATATTATATTTTTTTATATACATTTGAATTACATTTTAAAAATTGCATAATTACATTTTTCAGAGAATAAGAAATACATAACTTACATTATTACGATTAAAGGACAAGCTGCACTGATATGCAGATACCGGGAAATGAAATATATCTAAATAATATCACTGGGGATGATTTTTGATAGTTTGTATACAAACTAAATAACTGAACCATCATCATTTTAGGTAATGAAGCATTTTGCAAATCACACACACACACACACAAAAAAAAAAAAAAAAAAAAAAAAAAAAAAAAAAAAAAAAATTTGCACATAGATAAATTATAAAAATAACATCATCAGACATAATTTTGAATATCACTGAACAAATAAAAAATTCCTCAAAAGTAAACATTCTTTCCACTGATTTTCCAAAAGAATAACTAATGATGCTGTTAACTGTAGAGGTAAACATTAAAATTATCATAAATCAGCTAATAAAATTAACAATTAAAGTTACTATTAGAGTACGAAATTTCCCCACCTTTTTAAGAATTAACACTACCAAAGCTATTTGTAGGACAAATGAACATATATAAGGACTAGAATTTTGTATGCTAAGGAACACACAATCAATGCCTCATTACACAAAATAGTGCTATCATACAAAATATTATAACGTTTTCTTTAAAAGCAAAATATTCTGTAAACATAAATATTTTCCCATTGGTATTCAAACATATGTCAAAATTTATCTTCAGTAAACAAAATGCACGCATAACTTTTCAAAAACTGGGCATATAAACAATTTCATAACATTATTAAAAAAATACAACTATTTTAAAAATTTTCTATACATATATGTATTTGGATAAAATAAAATCTAAGCATTTTTAACAAGATAATTTTGTTTGAAGTTTTATATATACACATATTTATATATATATTTATTTTAAAAAATGCTAAATATTTTTCATCTTTAAAAAAGTTGGTTGTGTATATATATATATATATGTAAAAGAAAATATTACACAACAGATATTTCTCTTCAATGAAATAAAATGGATTTTTTTTAAAGTTATTTTTATCAAATAAAATCTATTTAGTCACTGGAAATTATGATATCAGTTATAATTATTAGCTATCACACCTAGCTTCCACATTGCAATCATAATTTTTAATATATTTTGTGTTCTTTTCTTTTATTGTACAGAAGAAAAATTATACTTTTGCATTAATATGAAAGCAAAGAAGCATTATAATTGTGGGAAAAACAGAGAGAGAAACAACAACAGTAAAAAATTAAACCAGCATTGGAGCACAAGAATATATAACCATGTGAAAGCTACAGCACAAATGAGAATTATATACAAATATTTAAGTGAGTTATACAAAAATATTTATCCGTCTTTGCATAACAGAAACGAGGAATGATTGAGCTCGTGTCAGGCAACGGAGATACAGCCATTTCCTCCGTTTAATGTACTTCTCACTATCATGAGTAAATGCAGAGAATTTTTTTTTTTTTTTGAAGAAACACTTACAAAACAAATTCATATATGCCAGAAAGAAAAAATATGCTAACTTAACAAATAATAATTAGCTTTTCCACGAGCAAAAACCAGACTAAAGATATCAACCATCACTACATTTCAACCCATCAGCGGCAGTCATTAATGGTATGTATGTACATTACATGAAATGAAGAATCAGTAACCCATTCTAATGTATTTAATTGCATTTCTACAGTTAAAGGATGGGATATATTTCATATTAGATAACAGCTGAGATACATTAATAATAATAGTTTAGTCTAGGGCTTATTTTTTTAAGATGACCTTTCATTAAGTATTGCATAACATAAAATTCTATCAGTTTTATTTCTCAATACACTTCGCAGTTTCGTTAAACTTCATTATGCTATCCAGGAACAATCAATTTGAACACAAAATACCATGATTTTCAAATTATAGAGAACTAGAGTTCTTTTAAAAAATTGGATTGGAAAGTTCAGTACTTTTAACAGTAATTATAATTGTTATTTTAGAAAATGAAATACCGGAATAGAGATTCAATAGAAAATTAAGAACAAAGGAAGAAAATCATGTACGGGGGGAATATACTAATGTTCTGGCAATGATTAAACTTCAAAAATTCAATATGCAGTTCATAGTTACTTGCATGGAAGCACACAACCTTGAATTCACTAATTTCACCAAAATTTTAAATAACTATAAAGGGGGACTATGAATTCCAATGCTGTTTTTTAATCATTATTATGAAATTACTCAAGAAAAATATTTTTTAGGGAATGCCAAAAAAATTAATTAACATTAAAATGGAGTTAAACAGAAGTCCATTTAATGTTTTGGATGAAGAAATTATATGAAGAAATTTTCATGAATATCACGTAAAAATGTTTTTTTCCTTGAAAGTTTTAAGAACATGAGCTCTGAAAAATTTAAATGATGGTAATTTATTGTTTATTCAATGCACTTGGTGTCTGCATACTTTAAAGAAAATTATCATCCTATCAAGTGTAAATAAATTTATGGGTTAAAATATTTGTTTTAATGATTTAAACGTTAAAAAATTAATAACCAAAAAAGCAGCACTGTAGGCTGCAGGATTAAAAAAGATTACACACTAGGATTTTATGCCAAAGCTACTGGGAAACTCACAAAGGTACAGAAAGTAAATAATATGAATGTTACTTAAAGCTTTATTATTGATTTTACTGCCTGGTACTTCATATACTTATTTACTTTAAGTTTACTCTATTATGATGCAGATTTAAAACAAATATAGAAAGTCCAAGGTTGTGCATTCCCCTTATCGGACTAAGAGAGTCTAAGCATAATACACAATCTTGAATGATTTTATGCAGTTCTTTTTAAAATAAAATTTTCAAGAAGTCCAGAGGAAATACGTACTGCTAAAAGGCAACTATCACTTTACAACATTATGCACTTATGCAATTTAGGTAAAAAATTAATGTTCTTTTTTTTCTCAACAATTATAAGGTCTTCCTTCTATTAAGGAAACAACTAAAAATACTATTTACAAATCAAAAGCTGCAAAAAAGTGAAAATCTTTCATCAATTAATATTTGGTGAAAAATATAATGATCACAAAAACTTCAGTGAAATTTCTGAAACAGCCTGATTGAAGATCAGGTACATATTACAGTAAAGTACATTTAAAATCATATTGGGGTTTTAAAATCATAATTCATTTATGGAAATTAATTACACAATACCTAATTAATGGAAAAGTACATTTTAATTCCATTTTTAATAATAACTGAAAATTTCTGATTAATGAAAATTTTTAATTCTTAACAAACATAAAACTGAATTATGTTTTATTATTTTGTGCTCAAGTTGATTAGGCACTTTTGAAAGGATTATTTTATTCCTGGATGATGGCATACGTAGTTATATTACTACATAATGGCACAATTTAAATAATTAATTACTGAATTTATGAAGGATAAAAATTAATATTCTTTTCATTCGTATCGAAACCTTGCAACACTTATTATGCATTAAAAAAAAGCACAGAAGTACCAAATAATAATAAAATACTAAAACTAGTAAGTTAATGGTTAATATTTTTGATAACTATTTTTTCAACACAGACTTCAGACAGCTGAAAAGACCTCACATAACGTAATACAGGAAGTCACTAAAAAAATTGTTAAAAGTGTACATTAATCATAATTGAAAAGAATAAGTCGAATATAGATTAAGTTAACAGTGCATATTTAAGTTCAATAATATCAGTCTCTTATGGATAATGCACAAACTTATTTAGATTAATATTTCTTGTTAACTTGAGTTTAAAAAATTTAGAACATAATTAATTTAATCTCCAACTAATCCTTAGAATATAAATATATATGGCCATGATCTCAAAATATGGTTCATGACCCATCAATGAGCCAAAGGACAATTTTTGATGTACTGCAAAATATTTTGAAATACTTTTCTTTACTATATAATTACATATATTTATTATTATGTAACTATAAATTAATTTATAATTACTAATGCATGTTTAACAATTACATAAGTTTATGTGTTATTTCATTATTTTCTTTTAAAGAATCTATCTATCCTCTTTTTTTTTTTTCCCCTTCCAGAACCCATTTCAGCAGGCATTCACGGGTAGGTCACAAGGCTAAAGGTATGGAAATAACTGATATATGGCATTATAATCAAATTAAAAAATACAACATTTCATTATTTTATACTGCACATGTAATATTTCTTTATGCAGTTTCGAGCCTCCTTATGATGAAAAATCACATCTGCAATCTCAAGTTTTTTAAACACTTTTTTTTTGGTTAAAAAAAAAAAAAAAAAAAAAAAAAAAAAAAAAGAGACTCCCCTTTTTGTGTATATTTTACAAATTACATTAAAGAAATGTGGGTTACTGACATAATAAATAATAGCACTCTAATAGTAGAATAATACACTACATTTATCACAGGCTAGAGTATCTGTCATTACATACCAATGGGTGAAATAATAATCATGGAACTATATTTTTGGTCTTATTATAAACAGATATTTATAATTAAAATAATGCAAAATAGGTAAAATTTAATAATTTTATGCAAAACCTTATGTGCAGTTATGAGTGTTTCTAAAAATAACAAAAGGAATCATAAATATTTGTAATATAAAAGTTTCTCTATAAGGATATGCTAATAGCTCATTTGCTTACACTCACAGATCATTACACTCTGCCCAGCAGGGGTAAAGTGAAATGTAAGTAAACATGCCTTAACCAGGTTTGTGATTAAATAACTAAAAACAATATGAAAAGAAAAACAATCATAATGACTAACAGTTCTAAGATTTATAAACCTACATTTCTCCATTTCTCTCGGAAAAGTTATTTACAATGAGAATCACAATTAATTGTGGCCATACATCCCTATAGCTGAATTAAAAGGCAAAATGTTTTTTTACCACCTTTCTGACTGCCAATAGTTACAAAATAATACAAATATTTATAACTTACACAAGGCAGACAGTATTTTTTTAAATTTTTTTTTCTGCCCAGTCTTATACCTTAAATATTATGTGGCATGTTGTACAAATGATATCTGTACAAACATTATGCCAAAACAATAAAATCCCTGACACATTCTAACAGTTCTTTAATCAGGGACATGAAAAATGGCAAAAACCATTCGATGCTAAGATCAATATCTGATACATACAAGCAACATATTGCAGAACTATTCCTTGGTGGTTCATTGACTATTTTCCGTACACGAAAAATTTAACTCAAATGAATAAAATTCTCCGGAACAACTACTAAGTACACAAAAATTACAAGTTATTTATTTATTAATATAATTATGAAAATGTAAAATTTTGAATACTATGTATTATTAAAGCTGAATTTTGTACTATTCACATATATACATAAAATACATATTGTAAATAATATACTGAACTATTTAAAAATATTTAGCACCAGCAAAAATAAAACATAAGCACCTGAAGTTCATTTAAAATCAGGAAAAATACCACTAAAACCATCTAAGTAACTCCGGTTTATTTAACAAATATAAATATAGAATAATGGATGTGAAAAGACATTAAAAGCAACAGCAAGCAATTTCTGGAAATTTAACTTTAAATATTTATATAAATGCAGTGACTCTCACATCACTGATACAGGTAGACTTAACAAAATTTATCACATGATCAGTGCTCTCTACACCAGTGACATGAGAGAAAGAGTAATATAACAAAGGCTTGCCTTAAAAAGGAGAAAAACAAAATGTAAATAATTTTAAAATTTTAGACAGTTATATTTTTTTTATAGCAGCATCCAATACAATTTATTTTTTATATTGACATCATATATATGGAAATAGTGCATCACAATTAAAAGCAATTAACTGCTTAGGAAACAGAAGAAACTATACTTTTCTTTTTAAGTAACGTATATTGCAAGAAATATACAGTGGTTAAGTAGCAGTGCAGTACTAGTGTGTTTTATATCTTGGGGATACACCAGTCATATTTGTTGTAAAGACAAATATACTACAATAATGTTTCCCCTGATCAAGAACACGAATACTGAACATTTATACTAAAAATATACAGAAAAATCATGCTTTATTAACTTTTATATAAAATGTATTAATTCTAACACATAATTTTTAATAAGAACATATTTAGGAAGAACAATAAATTAAGTTTATTGTATATGCTAAATCAAATTCTCTTAATACTTTTATGCAGATTACATCCAAAAAATATATTCACAATTTTATCCATACATATTATGTTTAATATAAAAAAGGTAACCAGTGTCATTACATAAATTATTTGAATACACTTAAATTACTGTTAAAATATTATTTTACAAACAAATAAATAAACACATAGATGTGAAAAATGCCTAGTTGCTTGTATATATCAGGCCTTACATAACCCATGGTTGAGTATTAATTAGAGGTTTCTACGCTGAAGTTTTCAACCCATTTACACATCTTTGAACAATACAAGATTAAAACAACAAAAAAACAAATGAGAAAGCATGACCAGTTGTTCTGCTGTGACTGGCAGTGAGGACACAAAGGCAGTTGAAAGACCAGTGCATTAACAACAGATACACTGCCATGCTTTCTTCAGGCTGGAGTGTTGAACACTCAGAAAGCACATCCTTCCTGTTCTTTGAAGAATTCACCAAGATGGGACAAATGAACTTTAAAATGAGTACTTAAATCACTCATCAGTTCAAGTCACGATCTTCCAGGTACCGGTATTCGAATGTAAATCCTTCCTTTTTCCTTTGGCCCCATTTTTCATAATCAAAATAAATATATGTGCCCTAAAATATAAAGCAATATAAAAATATATATATTTGTTACCTCTAATTTTAAAAATAAAATAGTTTAATTTATAAATTATATTTGAATAATTACAATATGAATTCACAACTCATTAATAGACAGACATAGGATGTAAAATGGAATAATTAAGAAACAGTAGCATATTCCAAACAGTAAAGTATTTCTTGAACTTCTCAAATGAAACTTAACTTTAACTTGCAAGTAAACATCACCCTGTCCTCTTTTTTTTAAAATAAATGCACAGGTGTTAAAATTTTTCTTTACACACATAAAAAATATGGTGAAACTGCTGGTAAATAACATTATATATTCAATAATTCTGATTTCATAATCAGGAATCAGCTACAAATGCATATAATATTTAATACAAGATTCATAATTAAAAATACATAGATAGGGAAATAATTGAAAAAGATATTTTGAAAGAAATTAAACTTTTTGCAACAAGTCATGTGTGCTTTCACTTTTTTTGGGGTGAATCAGTGAGAATAGTGAAACACTGCTTTGTTTTTAAGATTTTAATTCAAAAAGTCAGTATTGAGATTTGGATATTAGATTGCGATGGAATGTTGTATGACGATGCTTAAAAAAATATTCTTGTTTTATTTATCTGTTACATGTAGCACCCAATGGAAAAATACAAGTTAGCTAAGACTATTGTGTAACATATTACAATATGACGTTTCGTAGGAAAGCCAAAAAAGGCTGAATTCATAATGCTGGCCTTTGACCTGGGATTAATGATAAACAGTGGAGTTAAAATGTAATGTTTGAGTCAAAAGAGTTACTAGTTAACTTGAACGGATTTAAGAGAGATGAGAGCTACATAAAAAATTATCTTGAGACCAAAATGTCAATTCAACATGAGCATCAACAGGTTAAGGGGGGTGAAGAACGGAACAATCAGAAATATGAACCTGAAAAGTTACGTTTGATCCTAGAAATTCAGAAGGAATGAGAGCCTGTTCCTGGGCAAAACTTTGTAACTAAATTGAATTGTCAGAAGATTTTTGCCAAATTTCAAGGCCTGAAGAAGATGCCAATAAATTTCTAGTTCTGTTTGAGAGACGAATGAAACTGTTAAAGGTCAAAGAAAGCTTATGAGTAACTCAGCTTAGATACTTCTAATGTTAAAGTCTGAAGGAGACTTGGGACTTTACCATTAGAAGTATCTAAGCTGATTCCTATGGAACCGAAGGAAAAACTTCAGAATTATGCTCATATAAAAATGTCCTTCTCAAATGATTTAAGATAGCTGTAGAAAAATTCCGGAAGTTGTTCAGAGAAACTAAGAAAAATCGTGATGGTTCTTCTACATCCAACTTCGGACGTAAGATGAAACTTGGTTATCTGCAATGAAAATTACAAGTTTTGATCAGTTAAACAATTTGATGATTTTGAACCAAATGTAAAAGCACATTGCCATTGATTATGAAGAACACTTTTTGGATGAAAAGGAATAACTGATTTTCTCTGCTGTTTTAACAGGAAAATTTGTTGGCTCGGATAATATACGCAGTTAATTTCTGGAAGATCCAAGGGAGAGCTCAAGTGAGTTTTAAGTTGGATGGTCATTCTACAAGCAGAGAGAGCTTTGCTGTGGTCAGAGAATTGCAAAAACAAGGGAAAGTGGTTGTGGTACTCCAGGTATATTAAAAGCAATGTGCCCAAAATGTTCTCCAGATAAAGAAGACAAGGGCCTCCTGAAGGAAATTGGTTAAGTTTTAACCTTACATCCTCCTCTTCCAATATTCTTCAGGCATTACATTTTTGTTTTTGATGCTGAAATTCTTGTTTATCTTGATACTGGAGCTAGCCAACCTGTAGGAAAAAAGAGATGCTGCTTAAATTTTTGTAAAAACTTGGGCAGCACTTCCAGGTTCAACAGAGTAAAATTTCCCTAGCTAATGATCATACCTTCAATTTTAATGTTCTGCAGATGGCAGTACTAATCAAATTACATGGTCAAATTATTGTCACTAAGATGTTATTTCTACCTTATGCAAATCATTAACTGTTTTGATGGAAATCCGACAGTTGGTTCTCTGCTGAAGGTTCTCGCAAACTGGTGTATTCGACTTTAGATTCTACTTAAGAGGACAGAACAGACATACAGGAACCTCCATGGTTGAAAGTTCTTTTCTTCTTGAAGAAGGAGTGAATCTAATAAGGTCTCAAAGAGAAGAATTGGATTCGTTCTTCAGCTCGTTTCAAAGAATCTTTCAAAGAGGGGGAAGTGCTCCTCCTATTGTGAAGCACTACATTAATACTGGAGATCACCGTCATACAGCAGTACCTCCTTATAGACTTGCTCCTCATAAAGATTCATCTAATGTTCCTGATAAGAAGAGTGATCAAAAAGCTAAAAACTTTGATTCTCCCAAGAGGCATAACAAATGTTATGGAAGATGTAGCTATCATAATTCCCAGGAATATTAATATAACAGAAAACGGAATGCAATAGCTATTAATCTTATCATAAATCAAATTATTATAAATTTAATAGACATCAGTCAGCAAAAAATTATCCTTCATCAGGGAAAATGAGAATAGTTCTTCAGTTTCTGAAAGTTAAAGGGCATCTGACAGAAGCAACACTTTCCACGAAAGAAGAGGAAAGAAAGAATACAGAAGTAAGAAAGATTTTGCAACTGAAGATATTTTAGAAAACCATTCAAAATTTAATGAATATGATACAGATTCCAGAAGTAAAAATGCATATTCTGAAGAAGAGTACTTAGATCAGAATTTAGACCAGTCTAACAGAAAAACTACTTCTGTAGAAGAAAATTGTCCTGAAGATGTGAATTTAGAATACAGAACAGAAGGGACATGGCTATTGACAGAAGAGACCTGTTTTTACAATATGAAAAATAGCAGGCATTGTGGATGAGGTAGATATCTTTCTGGCTATAGAAATAAGAGACTCTTTTAGTGATGGCAATTATAATACAAATTGGTAATTATAAAAAGGAAAAATACCCTAACAGGAACTGGAATGAATATTATTATCAGAAAGGCAAACATTCCACCAGAGACGAAAATAGTGAAAGGTATCAAAACATATTTAGTTGGAATAGAAATTTCCAAGATAACTGTTTCATTTCTCATTGTGATATCCAATATTTAACGTATTTCACTGTTAAAAAAAAGGTGTTTTAATTTGAAATGGACCGAATAAAGCATTAATTATAAATTGACTTAGATTTTTCGATTTAAAAGATGCCTCAAAAGCTAAAAAAATCATCTCATATTTGAAAAAGTATTATAGGAAGAAGCTCTATAAATAGAAAAGAAGTAATGCATAATTTTAATATTAATAATACAATAAACTTTGATCTTAGTTTTCGTAATCCTTAACCGAATAAAATCGAATTACCTTAAAATTATTCTCTAATGTCATTAACAAAAACTTGTGAAAATATTTCATTCAAATTAAACTGTTCTGTTAAAAGTAAAGCATTTAATTTCGTTAAGAATGAAATGTTTCAAAATGTATTCTTTTCACACACTTAGGACTCTGGAATATTGTAGAAAAAGAAAATATACACATTTATATGTATATTTACGACATAACTATGAAATATTTATATCCGATCGTGTCAAAACTCATTGATCTTAATGATAAGTGGCCGAATGTTTTGGTCACAACGAAGAGATCGTCAGTGCTTCAAAGCAGTATATGGGGCAAACCGGTTTGGGCCTCTCCTTCTTAGTTCCTACCTCCATGGGAAGACCCCATAAAACGCATGACAGTTTTTTGCCATCTCCACAATTGAAGTCGTTAGTGAAAGGAAGGTTTTAACAATTTAACAAGTCGAGTGCATTTCTACTTTTTTTTTGTTGTGATTCAACGGCAACAGTGAAGCGATATTTTGTTCTTAAGATTTTATTTCAAGAAGCCAGTTTTAGGATTTGGATATATGATTGTGATGGAATGTTGTATGACAATGCTTAAAAAAATGTTCTTGTTTTGTATATCTGTTATATTTTAAATTTAATAGAGTATGTAATTGTTTCTCACCTTAGTACAAGTACCACAATGATTTCTTAATAGAAATTAAAATTTAGAGCACTGAGTTCCAATCCTCCATTAAAGCAATTTTTGAATCTTTGATTTTTGAATTTTGAGAGTTAATGATCACAACAGACATGAATGCCTGACACTGGGATGGTTGGTAACTTTTGAAAGTTAGCAGCAGTTAGTGTAGATTTACTGGAGTTGTAACTCAGTTCCAATAAGTCGTTGAAGCACCAGAGGTTATACATTGTTTTATATTATTTTAAGTCTCATTAGTTGAAGGAATAAAGTTTTATGTTGTATCTTATATCTACAATATGAAAAGGTGAGCAGTTAGTTACTACAATCAGAGTGAGCAGTTAGTTACAAATATAACACAGTTAGACATCTTTAGGCGCAATAGATTTACATAATCACGAGTGAATTTTTTTTTATTTCTAAAAAATATCCATTAAAAGTACTAAGAATATTTTACAGCAGTTATAACTTATGATGCTGATTGTACAATGATATTAACATACTTATACATTAAAATCTGCAAAACATTTATGTTTTACAATAATAAACAACAAAATATTTAAGTGCCTTTTTAATTTGAAAATTTTCTACATATAAAGAATTATTTTCTCTCTGTCATAAAATCAACTTCTTTTTCAATGAGTTTCCTCTTTTAAAATTTGCAAATTTAATTAAAGATTTCTGCTACTCTAAAGAACTGCTTGTACTCCGAATATGTAAAAGGAAACTGCTAAATTTATTTATTTAATAATATGAGTACTGAGAATAAATATGAAATGACACGAGGTCAAGACTAGCGGCAGAATTTTAGAATTTAGTGAAGCACTGAGCAACAAAATCTAAGGATAGCAAATTTTTTAGAATTTAGGAGAAGTATTGAGATATGTATGGTGCACTGAGACATATAAAATGAATCTTTTAATAAATTGTTGGTTTTCA